GCTGAAGCTCTGCTTCCTGGGCAGATAAAGTTGGTGGTAATGCTCCTGCTTGTAGAATTTCAAATTCCGAGGTCACAGCATAACCTGTGTGGTACTTGCCTCCTTCATCTGCATATATGGAGCCATCCACAAAAAGTGTGTAGTCAGGGTTTTCCAGAGGAATTTCACTCACTGTAGGGAGATGTGTGGTTTCCATGCGCATCATTTCAAGGCAGTCATGTGGAGTAGTACAGGGGTCTCCTTCACCTTCGCCTTCTTCTCCCCCCCCGTCGAAAAATGGCAGAAGGGTGGCTGGGTTGAGAGTGAGACACCTTTGGAGGGTCACATTGTCAGGAATGAGGAGGGAGATTTGCAACCGTTCAGATGTCAGGCCGTGGACAGGTGTCGGGGTTGTACTTGATTCAGGAATGGCAGCAATGTCATGCGGTGCCAAGAAGAAACAGGGGTGTGGTAAAAACGAGGTCTGAAGTTCTGTCCAATAGTGCTTGAGCAGAGAAGACAGCTCTTAGAGATGAAGGACCACACCCCTAGCTACGGGATCCAAATGACAAGAATAGTACCCAATGGGGTCTGGTTTGCCCTCCATGTTTCTTGAGCTAGGACCTCCGTGACGTGGCCTTGCTTTTTCTGACACAGTTTGAAAGGTTTCTCATAATCTGGAAGTCCCAAGGCAGGAGGTTGGATATTTGCTTGCTTCAGCAGAATAAAATTATCCTCATGGCCATTGCTTGACAAGGTAAATGGCACAGACTTGAGAGCATCATAGAGTGGTTGCATACGGACCGATGCATCAGGGATCCATGCCCTGCAGTAGGATATGAGTCCAAGAAAGGCATGCAGTTGTTTAGCTGCTTTAGGTTGGGGAATATATCCTGGATTACAGCTACAACACGGTCCCCCAGTCTTGTTTGAAAATACTGCCATAAGGGGTGACACGGGTTTGCCCATTTCCTAACGAGAGGTTGTGGTCGTGGTGGTTGATATTCACGCTGCCCGTCTCGGGGGTCCCTGTCTTATCTGGGATATCTTGGGGCTCTGCATTCTCTTCTAAAGTGTCCCCGTTTCCCACAGTTATAACAGGTGATCCTTTCCCTGATATATTGGCAATGGTGGTGGTGGACGAGTTGTAGTGTGGGATCTTCATCATTGACCACCATGAGGGGCGCTGGTTTTTTTTCCTTTTTTATTTTCTATGCCTCTGGCCACCAACAGTCATCAGACATCTATCATAAGCGCGGGTACTCAGCAGGGCGGGCCACCATCAGACCTTTCCTGATATCCTCTTTTTATGAGCCCTGGAGACAAAAGGCAGTTGAGAGCATGTGTGTTTGTGCCTTTTCATATTTGAGAGAAGCCCAGATCATCAAAGGCCTGTATGAGTCTGGCATAATACTTCTCCACAGACTACCCCTTTATCTTGGGTGATGTCTTGAATTGTGGTAGTCTGATCCGCCAATTTCTCCTTTGCCCAGTCATGGAGCTGGGCACAAAAAACTCCACGCCTGAAGAACAGGAAATAGCACTTGTCAGGCAGGCATCATTGAAGCCCATCTGCATAACTGGCCAGAAAACATGTCCTGCTTTAATTTGGCATAGACTGAGCAGGAGTCTTTCCAAGCAGCTGAGTAAGTTTTCTTGTATCTGCACTACCCAGCCGGTAAAAGGGCATTGGCTGTTTCGTCTGGGTCAGGCAGACCTCGTCACTAAGGCCGCTGCTTGTGATGGGGTAAAAGAAGCGTACATACATTAGCGGTGCCCCTTCCAGGTTAATCTTGAATGTCGGTGTTGGCTTGTGTACTGTTCCGGTTTAGTTTGTACTCCACTGTGCGTGGGTTTGGGATCAAATCTATTGGTGCCCTTGTCGCTTGCAGCTGTCGATCACTCCATTCAGATGCATCGTCATTCAATTGGACATCTGACATAGGTTTGGGGAGTCATACCTATCGGCATGCCTTCCTGCTTGAGGTTGTTGATCAATCCGACTCGAATACATTGTCATTCATGTTTATCCATCCTTGTGAAGGTGACACTTCATCTATTGGGGAAAACGGGAGTGGTGGTAGGAACCATCCTGGTTTAGAACAGGGGAGAACTGGGTATATGCCTTATTTAGGCCTTCCGGTGTACCCAAGAGATGGCCGCGGCGAACGGAAGTGCACTGGCTGGGCGAGGAACTATTAGTGACAACACAGGATGTAGCAAGATGGCTGCTAGCAGGAAGTGTACTGGCAGGAAGGGACAAAGCAGGAGCATCAAGATGGCTGCCATCAGGAAGTGCACTGGGGCAAGGGCTGGGGTGGTGGGCATAAAGTAAGCGTTAGACAAAGGGCAGGGCTGTCCCTCCCCCTCCTCCACCCCACAACTCCAACATAGGGCGGTGGTTTTAAGCAACACTTCTTCCAATTACAATTTTGTGATACAAATACATTATACAATTGCCATTTTCTTGAATTTCTTCCAACTATCCTTCTTTATACAAACACTTTTCCAGTTCTGTACAAAACTTCTGTCACGTTCAGCAAACCTTTATCACATAACATTCCTCCTCTGTTCCTACAATGATTTTATGCCAGTCCTGACCTTCAGCTTACAAACTTTCGCTACTTACTATAACTTTAAACTGATTCACTTTTCCTTCACAATATGACATGCCAGTAATCCTTTTTCAATATTTTAACACATTAATGGTACACATAAAACAGTTTTTTTTTTTTTTTTTTTTCCCCTGTAGCAATACCTGTTCTGTCCACTACTCTTTGTGGATAACTTCGGCTAACATTATACCAAACTTCTTGCTGTCCTCAGCACATGTTTTGTCAACTAAGACATCTTTCATTCTCTTTTTTTTTTTTTTTCGCCATACCTCCTTATCTTTAATTCCACACATACTTTTTCTTTTCTCTCTCTGCAACCAGGTCACATGCTAAACATTCCTTTCTAGGGGTCTTATCAGCGTCTGACCCTGTCTCCTCCCCCCTTCTCTGTCCTTCCTAACAGGAATCTAAGACACTTCACAGGCTGCTGTCCAGACTTTCCTTAACCCTTAACCAAAACCCCCAACCTTCTGTTATGAATGGCAAACATTAGCTTACAGACACACCATTTAGGACATAACATAGCAGTCTATCTTGGTGGGCTCTGAGTACAGACCACTGAGTAACTCAACGTAACCCACACAAACATTTACGCACACCCCCCCCGACTGTCACACTACCGTGACGCATATCCGACACCTCCTCTGTTGTGGTCAACACACAAGGTTACCACACACCCCAGAGAAATTATGTGTCAAAACCCTCAGTAGGTCCACCTCCCCTTCCACCTCAAGACTGATACATAAAAAACACACAACAGAGACCCAGGTAACAGATAAGCACATGCAGGTATATTTAAATAAACTCCGGGCATACAAGGTTACCTGCCTTTGACCTTTAGCACCGTTACTAGGCACAGGAGTATCGAATCAACAACAAAGACAGGATAAGCAATGGTAAGATAGCAAAATATATATCTTACCATGCTCCGAGAGGTGATCAAGCTCTCCGGCCTGTCCAGTTTGACTGACACCGAACGCCTTTTCATGGCGGCTGGCTGCAGGTCATTATCAGTTCCCGGGTTTCTTGGCACCAAATTGTTTTAGTCTTGGACTTAATCATCCAGTGCTTATCTGTTCCTGTCCAAAATTTATGACGCTGGACGCTGGCCAGTTGTGGAATGTGCGCACATAAAGAAACTCACACTGACACACCTTTGGTCTGTGAAAACTTCTCTCTAATATTATTGAAATGAAACCATGAGCTTATATATGAAAAATGATGCGAACAGCACGTGATAACAGCATAAGCATTATATTAGTCTTTGATTGGTCACTTTACACGAAAACAATCTCCGTCATGGTATAGGTGTGATCTTCTTCAGTCTTATCTTAAAAAGAGAAAAACATTCTTTTGTCTTCCAAATCACACGATGGGAGGGGTCTGTTCCTGTGAGCAAATATTTCTTAAGCAAGGATTTCTTAAAGTACCACAAAGCCCAGCAGGCAGAAAATATTCACACACAACATATGTATTAAAGCATAAAAGTAAATATTTATAAAACTTATAGAAATAGCGTATATGATATATATTCAATAGGAAACGAAATAGGCATTTTACCAAATCCATCACAGTGTCAGTGGGAGGAATAGTGGCCCATCATGGTGTCAGTGGGAGGAATAGTGCCCATCATTGGTGTCAGTGGGATGAATAGTGCCCCATCATTGGTGTCAGTGGGATGAATAGTGGCCCATCATTGGTGTCAGTGGGATGAATAGTGTCCCATCATTGGTGTCAGGGATAAAGTGGTGCCCCATTGTGGAAGTCATTGGGAGGAATAGTGTCTTGAGGGCCGGATAAAGTCATGCCACAGTTTGGTCCCCGGCCACAGTTTGAGGACCTGGGATTTTCAGGGACTCCTTCCACAGTGTTGGTGTCACTACATTGTATGGTGGTTGCATTCAACAATTGTACAGATGAAAGGCGTGGAGGAGGCGGAGTTGAAAGGTTATTGCTGAGGAAAGGTGAAGCCGCCCCCCCCTGGATGTAGTTGGGGGGTCGGCACACACAGCAGGCCTCAGGCCTCAGGCTCTCTCCATTGGCACATTCTATTACTTGTACCAGGATAGTCTCAGGACACCAGGGGAGGAATTCCTACAAAAGGCTTTCCTCATTGGGTGAGCCATGAACAGCATGGAGTCCATGTACCCTTACCTCCCTGACCACACCAATCAGAGCAAGCTCCTCCCACTCAGCACACAGTGACATCTCGGGGGAGCAGATTCCATGAACCACCTTTGTTACCAGCAGCTCCCACAGACCCGCCCTCTGCTAGAAGACTCCCGTGAGTGGAAGGTGCGGGTAAGGAAGGGGTTACTGGAAGATGTCTGCAGGGGGAGGAGCCGCTGGCGGAGGAGGCGTGCACAGGGCTGCTCTGTGATGTATCAATGATCTCGCACGGCTCTAATGATGCCTGGCTCCTCCCACACACAGTCCAGTCACGTGATGTTGATGATGCTTCCTGCTGATGTCTCCTCACTTCCGGCTCCGGTGTCCTCCGGGTGTCATGCCGCCGAAAGGGAAAGGAGGGAAGGGAGGGAAAGGTAAGTCCGGGGAGATTTCCTCTTCATCATCATCACCGCACCCGGGGAGTCATAGAGGTCGCCTGACTGTAAATTACATCCACCAGTGTCTGGCATTATACCCTTACATCTCCCTCTCCAGTGACCCCCATATTCCCCCCATCTCCCTCTCCAGTGACTCCCCCATCTCACTCTCCAGTGACTCCCCCTCCCCCCATCTCACTCTCCAGTGACTTCCTCCCCCCCCATCTCACTCTCCAGTGATTCCCCCCCATCTCACTCTCCAGTGACCCCCCCATATCTCTCCAGTGACCCCCCCAAATGACCCCTCCCTGTATACCTCCAGTGACCCCCCCCTGCCCATATCTCTCCAGTGACCCCTCCATATCCCCCAAATGACCCCTCCTGTATACCTCCAGTGACCCCCCCATATCTCTCTCAGTGACCCCTCCATATCCCCAAATGACCCTTCCTGTATACCTCCCAGTGACCCCCCATATCGGTACAGAGACCCCCCCATATCACTTCAGCCCCCCCATATTCCCTCCAGTGACCCCTGATATCACTTCAGTGACCCCCCATATCACTACAGCAACCCTTCCATATCCCTGCTCTGACCCCCCCCTTATCACTTTAGTGACAACACCCCCCGTATCCCTCCAGTGACCTCGTATCACTACAGTGACCCCCTGATATCCCCTATATAATTTCATGACCCCCTATATCACTTCATAACCCCCCATATCCTCCCAGTGACCCCCATATCACATCGACCCCGTCATATCCCTCCAGTGACCCTCCCATATAATTTTGGTGCCCCCATATCCCTTCAGTGACCCCCCCCCCCCCCCCCCCCATATTCCTCCAGTGACCTCCCATATAATTTTGGTGAACCCACCCCCATATCTCTCCAGCGATTTTTTTTTTTTTTTTTTTTTTTTTTTTTTTTTTTTTTTTTTTTTTTTTTTTTTTTTCCCCTCCCCCATATCCCTCCACAACCCCCCCCCCCCATATCCCCCAGTAACCCTCCCATATCACTACAGTGACCCATACCCCCACCCCCCATATTCCTCCAGTGGCCCCCACCCCCCATATTCCTCCAGTGGCCCCCACCCCCCATATTCCTCCAGTGACACCCCCCATATTCCTCCAGTGCCTCCCCATATCATTTTGGGACCCCCATATCCCCCAGTAACCTCCCATATCACTACACAGTGACCCATACCCCCACCCCCCATATTCCTCCAGTGACACCCCCATATTCCTCTAGTGCCTCCCCATATCATTTTGGGACCCCCATATTCCTCCAGTGACCCCCCCCCCCCCATATTCCTACAATGACCCCCCCCATTGACCCCCCTATCACTAGAGCAACCTCCACATCCATCCAGTGACCCCCATATGCTTCCAGTGACCCCCCCATATAATTTTGGTGACCCCCATATCCCTCCAGCAACCCCACACCCTCATATTCTCATATTCCTCCAATGACTCCCCATATAATTTTGGGGACCCCCATATCCCCTCCAGTAACCCCACCCCCCATATTCATCTCACTCCCTACCCCCATATCCCTTCAGTGGACCCCCCCCTCCATATTCCTCCAGTGACTCCCCATATAGTTTTGGGGACCCCCATATCCCTCCATTGTCCCCCATAACCCTTCAGTGACCCCCAATATCTCTACAGTGCCCCCCATATTCCTATAGTTATCCCTCCAGTGACTCCTGACTGCCCCCATATCACTCCAGTGAGCCCAACCATATTATTCCACCAGTGACTCCCTAAATCCCTCTAGTGACCCCCCTACCCCCATATCACTTTAGTGACCCCAACCATATTATCCCTCCAGTGACCCCCCCCCCTTACCCCTTATCTGTCCAGTGACCTACCCCCCCCCCCCCCATTTCCATCCAGTGACCCCCCCCCCCCCCCATATCCCTCTATCCCTCAAGTAATCCCCCCATATCCTTGCATTGACCCCCCCCCTTTCCCTTATTCCTCCATGACTTACCCCCCCCCCCCCCCTCCAAGACACCTCTCCAATAACCCCCCAAACCTTCACTACCATCATTTACTGTGAACAAACCGGTTGTCCATCTTTATCTAAATAAAGTTTCTCTTACCAGGCGGAGGTGGTGGAGGAGGAGCTGCTGGAGGTGACGCTGCAGACAAGAAGGCTGCGACTCCGAAAGGTGGAAATGCTGTGAAGGTATAATGTCCTCAGAATGAAGAGCATGTGATATGTGAGTGTCCAGCCTGCACTCGTCAACAAAAGGGGGGGGTGGTACTATCATTTCCACCTTCAGGAAGAACATGGAGGGGATCTGAAAGTCCCATGTGACCCCCAACTAGCCTTAAAGGGCCACTTCACTTTTGGTTGTCCTATAACCCTTCTGCTGCCAAAGCCATTTCTGCATTTATTGCACACACATTAAAAGAATAATTTTAGGCTTGAAGATTCTGTAAAACCCCCAAACATTATATATTTTTCTGGAAGCAGAGATCCTGGAGAATAAAATAAAGGTAGTTCCAATTTTTTTATGCCACTTGATATACGTGCAACAGTCTTATCAAGCTCAAAATTTCAGTAAAAAATACAATAAGGTTAATCAGAGAGCATGAAACTATATATTTACCATATAGATTTTTTTTTGTTGTAAAATCTAAAAGATGAGGCTGCACCGAGCAAATAGATGCCCAACATGTTGAGCCTTAAAATTGCATGCAGCCATGAAACAGCGACAAATTTCAGTACCCTAAATTTTCCATAAGAGATGCTTCAATATCTCCTACAGGTCATCAGTTTAGAGGTAACCATGAATAATGGGGCGAGAATTATTGCTCCCACTCTGACGTGTGTGAAGATATGTAACATGTAGCGCAGTCAATGTTCTCTCTAACGTGTTTACATTTGTGTGGGGGGTGGGGCTCAAAACCTTTGGCAAGGTTTCATTTATTAGTTCCTGAGCAGCATATACATCACGTCACCGCAGCAGCCCGCAAATAAAGCCATACTTCTCCAGTGACCCCTCTCCATACCTCTCCAGTGACCCCTATCACCTCCCCCCCATACCTCTCCAGGGACCCCCTATCACCTCCCCCCCCCCCCCCCCCCCCCATACCCTCCAGGACCACCCTCCATCACCTCCCCCTCCCCCCCCTATACCTCTCCAGGGACCACCCTCCATCACCTCCCACTCCTATACTTCTCTCAGGGACCACCCTCCATCACCTCCCCACTCCTATACTTCTCCAGGGACCACCCTCCCCATCACCTCCCACTCCCATACCTCTCCAGGGACCACCCTCCATCACCTCCCCCCCATACCTCTCCAGGGACCCCCTATCACCTCCCCCCCCCCCCCCCCATACCTCTCCAGGGACCACCCTCCATCACCTCCCCCTCCCCCCTATACCTCTCCAGGGACCACCCTCCATCCATCACCTCCCACTCCTATACCTCTCCAGGGACCACCCTCCGTCACCTCCCCTCCCATACCTCTCCAGGGACCACCCTCCATCACCTCCCCCCCATACCTCTCCAGGGACCCTCTGTCACCAACATCCCCCCCATACCTCTCCAGGACCCTCTGTCACCTCCCCCCCATACCTCTCCAGGGACCACTTATCACCTTTCCCCCCCCATACCTCTCCAGGGACCCCCCTGTCCCCCCCCCCCCCCCATACCTCTCCAGGGACCACTTATCACCTCCCCCCCCCCCCCCCCCATACCTCTCCAGGGACCCTCTCACGGGCTCACCTTCCCCCCATACCTCTCCAGGGACCCTCTGTCACCCCCCCCCCGGTCCCCCTATCATACCTCTCCAGTGACCCCTCACTCTATCACCCCCCCCCCCATACCTCTCCAGGACCCCCTATCACCTCCCCCTCCCCCCCCCATACCTCTCCAGGGACCCTATCATCTCTCCCCCACCCCCCCCATACCTCTCCAGGGACCCTCTATCACCTACCCCCCCATCACCTCTCCAGGGACCCCCTATCCCCCCCATACCGTCACCCCCCCCATACCTCTCCAGGGATGCCCTATCACCCCCCCCATACCTCTCCAGGGACCCTCTATCACCCCCCCCCCATACCTCTCCAGGGACCCTCTATCACCCCACCCCCCCCATACCTCTCCAGGGACCCCCTATCGCCTCCCCCCATACCTGTCCAGGGACCCCCTATCACACCCCCCATGCCTCTCCAGGGACGCTCTATCACCTCCCCCCCCCCCCCCCCCCCCATTTCTCTCCAGGAACCCTCTATCACCCCCCCCCCCCCCATACCTCTCCAGGGACCCTCTGTCACCTCCACCCCACCCCATACCTCTCCAGGGACCCTCTATCACCTCCCCCCCATACCTCTCCAGTGACCCTCTTTCACCTCCTCCCCTCATACCTCTCCAGGGGACCCCCTATCACCTCCTCCCTCATACCTCTCCAGGGACCCTCTATCACCTCCCCCCCCCCCCCATCATCATACCTCTCCAGGGACCCCCTATCACCTCCTCCCCCCATACCTCTCCAGGGACCCCCTATCACCTCCCCCCCCATACCTCTCCAGTGACCCCCTATCATCCCCCCACAACTCGATTCCAGGGACCCCCTATCACCTCCCACCATACCTCTCCAGGGACCCACTATTACCTCCCCCCCATACCCTCTCCAAGGGACCCCCCTATCCACCTCTCCAGGGATCCCACTATCACTCCCCCATAAATACCTCTCTCAGGGACCCCCTATCACACCCCTTATGACCTTCTCCATTGACCCCCTATCACCCCCCACCATACCCTTATCACTCCCCCCCCCCCCCCCCCCCTTTCCATCCATACCTCTACAGTGATCTCTCATACATACATCTCTCGGGAAACCCGCTACCACTCCCACCCCTATATGTCTCCATTGACTGCCTGTCATCCCCCTCCTACATTTTCAGTGCCCCCCTACCACTTCCCCCTCCCCTCTATAATGACTCCCTATCACCCCCCCCCCCCACCCCCCTTCACTTTTATACATCTCTGGATCTCCAGTGACCCCCTACCACCTTCCCCCCCATACTTCTCCAGAGATCCCCTATCACCTCTCCTCACATATGTCTCAGATGAACCCTCATACAGCTTCAAGTGACAACCCCCCCCCCAATCACCCCTACCACCACATGCATCTGAAGTGACCTGCTGTCAAACACAACACACCCTTCCCACCCCACAATCTTGTCCCTAGTGATCCCCTACCACCCCCTCATGCCTGTCCAGTGATCCCATACTACATACCTACCTGTCCCCCCTACCATCCGATCACCCCCCCCCCCTCCCCTTATCTCCCCAGTGGCCAGAGGACCACTATCACCTATGTCCCTTTTTCTTCCAGGTCAGACATATCCTGTGTGAAAAGCATGGAAAAGTCATGGAAGCCATGGAAGAAGCTCAAATCCGGAGCGAGGTTTTCAGCGAGGTGGCCACCCAGTACAGCGAAGAGGATAAGGCCAGGCAAGGGGTATGTGATGGCCTCAGGATGTAAACTATGATCAAATTGAACCTGTCATCACCCATATATACGTGCTACAAAATGAACAGAGAATCTTTATCTTTCTTACTTTTTTGATCCAACGCTCTGTAAAAACGTTTACATATGTAAAGTGGGTGGTGTAAATTGACGGCGATATAGAAGTTGCGTGTTCTAAAAATCATTGGAGTTATTTTGTGTTCCAGGGGGACTTGGGCTGGATGACCAGAAAGGCTCGATGGTGGGACCATTCCAGGAGGCTGCCTTCGGCCCTCCCTGTGAGCACCATGACAAACCCGTGTACACCGATCCCCCCGTCGAAGACACAATGAAATTCGTGATATCATATCATTTTTATGGTGGAAGGAAGGAATATGACAGCCGACATCGTCAGAGTAGGAAAAGGCCGATTGCACCAGTCATTAATAGATACAGCAAAGTTCCTGAAAGGACAATTTTTGTGCTGTTTTTTATTTTCCTCTAAAAATACGAAAGCTCAGTAACAATTTAAAGTTAAACTCCAGGATATGAAAACCTTTTCCAAATCCATCCATCCTGGTATTATCCTCGACTCTGTGTGCTTTGTGTATTTCTTCCAGATGTGTGGCAGTAATCCAACGTGAGACTTCCTGTAATAAAGACCGCTCACTGCTGCCCTCTCTCCTTGTGCAGGATGACTGGTCTTGGCTCCTCCCCTCCTGTAGTTTTGTGCAGAGGGTGGAGCCTGCTGGGCACCTCCCATAGCAATGCTCTCTATACAGGCTGTTTTCAGCACAGTAATGATGTCACTGCTCCTTTTACAAGGTGATATCGGGGTTTGTGAAGGCATTTAATGCACATAAAGTGGATTTATAGCTTTTGAGGAATAGATTTAAATGAGAGCTTTGGTAACCAGAGTTTAGTTTGTGTCTAGGCCAGGGAGTCTCCAAACTTTCTAAACACAGGGTCAGTTTACTGTCTTTTTCACACTTGGGGGGGGGGGCAGATTGTGGACATTGGAAGTAGAAAGTGTCCTGACATCAGTGGGCGTAAACAATGCACCGTCTTTGGTGTCAGTGAGAGGAATTTTGCCCACCCTTGTTGTCATTGGGTGGGAAAAATCATGACCCGTGGTCATTGGGAGGTATTGTGCCCAGTGGTATATTTTAGGTTTTGTGTTGCCCTAGGCAACACAAAAATCATCTGTCCCCATAGACACTGACCAACACTTCCCCCTCCCGCGGAGAGAGCCTGACATTGACCAACAACAACCCTGCCCTCCACCTGAGAGAGCCTTCCACTGCCGCCCCCCCCCCGGCAATAGAGAGAGAGAAAAACACTCATCTTTAAAGCTGCAGACATCCCCAGGAACAAGAGTCAGGCTCTATATACACCATCAAGCAGCCTCTCTTGGATCCCACCTGGTTCCCATGGCTCGCGTATCCCTTCTTCTGGGGAAGGTGCTGCCCCCCTGAAAAATGGCGCCCTAGGCATGTGCCTTGTTTGCCTTGTGGTAAATATGCCCCTGATTGTGCCCCATTGTTGGTGTCAGAGGATGAAATATTGCCCCAAGGGCCAGATAAAAACAAGCTAAGGGCCGCAATTTAGAGACCACTAGTCTAGGCTTATGCTGATTGGAAACCTGAAGATAAGGTCTTGTTCACAGGGACAGCCAGGGGGCATTAAAAGGTGGTTGAGCTGTGATTATACCACCCTTCCCCCACCTAAACTGAGAAGTGCAGCCAATAGGGACAGAGAGACGCCGCCTGTTTTTGAAGGGGAAAGAGATGTAAACAACCTCAGCCTGTTACTCCTCCTCACGCCGCTGATGCGTTTCGCTCTGCCCGCTAAGGCTTAGAACTAGGCACTGGTGGGCGAGACTAAATGCATTAGGTGTGGTCTCAGGAGTGAGAGAAAACAGGTGGCGCACACACCTAGTGCATTATCCAAGGTATATTGTAGGAGTGAAAGAATAATAAAAACATACAGACAAAGCATAGAAAAATGACAATGGCCACAACGGCGGGCAAGGTGTTCTCACTGTCAGTGCGGTCAAATGGCTGACGCGTTTCGGGGACGAATCCCTTTCCTCAGAGCTGATGACCAACCTCTGATGCAGATGTGTGATGAATGGAAAGTAGGAGCCTTGCTGTTGATGCCTCATTTTTCTATGCTTTTTAGATACAGTTGCAAGAAAAAGTATGTGAACCCCTTTGGATTACGTGGAGTTTTGCATGAATTGGGCATAAAATGTGCTCTGAACATCATCTAAGTCACAACAATAGAAGAACACAGTCTGCTGAACATAATACTACACAAACATTAGATGTTGCCATGGTTTAATTACACATAACATGTAAACATTCACAGTGCAGGGAGGAAAAAGTATGTGAACCTTTGGACTTAAAAACTGGTTGGCCCTCCTTTGGCAGCAATAACCTCAACGAAACATTTCCTGTAGTTGCAGATCAGACCTGCACAACGATCTGGAGTCATTTTGGACCACTCCTCTTCACAAAACTGTTTCAGTGTAGCAATATTCTTGGGATGTCTGGTGTGAATCGCTCTCTTAAGGTCATGCCACAGCATTTCAATCGGGTTGAGGTCAGACTCTGACTGCGCCATTCCAGAAGGCGTATTCTGTGCTGCTGCAGCCATTGTTTTGTTGAATTACTTGTATGCTTTGGGTCATTGTCCTGTTGCATCATCCATCCTCTACGGAGCTTCAGTTGGCAGACAGATGGTCGTACGTTTTCCTGCAAAATGTCTTGATAAACTATGGAATTCATTTTCCCATCAATGACAACAATCCGTCCAGGCCCTGAGGCAGCAAAGCAGCCCCAAACCATGATGCTCCCTCCGCCATGTTTTACAGTGGGGATGAGGTTTTTGATGTTGGTGTGCTGTGCCTTTTTTTCTCCACACATAGTGTTGTGTGTTCTTCCCAAACAACTCAATCTTGGTTTCATCTGTCCACAGTATATTTTTCCAGTAGTGCTGTGGAACATCCAGGTGCTCTTTTGCAAACTTCAAATGTGCTGCAATATTCTTTTTGGACAGCAATGGCTTCCTCCGTGGTGTCCTCCCATGTACTCCATTCTTGTTTAATGTTTTCCTTATTGTAGATGTGTCAACAAAAATGTTAGCATGTGCCAGAGATTTCTGTAGGTCTTTAGCTGACACTCTGGGATTCTTCTTTACCTCATGCAGCATTCTGCGCTGTGCTCTTGCAGTCATTTTTACAGGACGACCACGCCTAGGGAGAGTAGCAACAGTGCTAAACTTTCTCCATTTGTAGACAGTCTGTCTTACCGTGGACACATGAACATCAAGGCTTTTGGAGATACTTTTGTAACCCTTTCCAGCTTCATGCAAGTCAACAACTCTTGATCGTAGGTCTTCTGAGAGCTCTTTTCTGCGAGGCATGGTTCACATCAGACAGTGCTTCTTGAAACCAGTAAACCCAAAACAGGTGTGTGTTTTTTAAGGGCAGCAACACATCCAATATCATCACACTGATTGGAGTCAAGGTTGGCTCACTCCTGGCTCCAATTAGCTCTGGGAGAAGTCATTAAGCTAGGGCCTCACATACTTTTTCCTCCCTGCACTGTGAATGTTTACATGTTACGTGCAATTAAACCATGGCAACATCTAATGTTTGTGTAGTATTATGTTCAGCAGACTTTGTTCTTCTATTGTTGTGACTTAGATGACGTTCAGAGCACATTTTATGCCCAATTCATGCAAAAATCCACGTAATCCCAAGGGGTTCATATACTTTTTCTTGCAACTGTACATGCTTCGTCTGTGAGTATGTTTTTATTATTATTCTTTCACTCCTACAATAAACCTTGGATAATGCACTAGGTGTGTGCGCCACCTGTTTCCTCTCTATCCAGTGGCTGATTTCCCCGTCTGAGGAGGGCTGCACCCCTGAAGCATTTCCTTTGGTTGTCGCTGTCCTGGTACCCTTGGCTTTCCTTTTGGCTCTGCATATCCTGAGGCGCTGGAGAGTACATATGATATGCGGTTCGGTGGTCTCAGGAGTAGTAACAGGCTGAGGTTGCTTACGTCTCTTTCCACTGGATGAGTTGGCGGTGTCTCTGTTCTAATTTGCTCTGTTGCTCTCTGGATGTAGCATTTGACAGCCCACTTACCATCCGTGAAACCGTGGACCCGTCCATCATCAATACACCTGGAGCGGCACCATGAGCTGCTGCATGGTATCAGGAGAAATGCAGCCGCTTGGCTGTACGTGGGCTGCAACAAAACAATTTAACGGCACATCAAATTCAGTACATACATCAAAGTTTGGACGCAACCTCATGTAATGCACGTGGTTATGGGTCAGCATTTTCTGGCCTCAAACAAGGGTGTAAGGAGGCCTCTGAAAAATGAGCCACTGTGGATCACTTTTCTAAGGGGTGCCAGTAGCTGCACATGTATGCGAGCCCTTGAGTAATATGGGTGCTATTGTAACAACTGTTGCATAGTTAAAACAAAAAAAAATTCATCTTTATAATGTTCAGCTCGTTCAGAGGAACCAATAAAAAAAAAAAAAAAGTTTTTTTTTTTTTTTTTTTTAAGTGTGTGTGTGTATTTGCCATCTATATACAGTTAGCATAGGAGGAGTGACAATTTATATCCCCGCATGGGCTGTAGAGGAAGAAAAAAGAAAGTTTCTTTACCTATACACTAGCACAGAGCTTAAAATTTCAAGTCCTGAGCCAGGTCTTATGCAGGCCATAGATGGGTCGAAAATCGGCCGATTTGTCGGCCGAAAATAAAAATCGGCCGATTTTCGGATCGTTAGTGGGCGATTTGGTCGGCCGTTTTTTTCGGGATTTTGGCCGTTTTTTTTTTTTTTTGGTAAAGTTGGAAAAAAATCGGCCGATTTTCACGGCATTAATGGGCCAATCGGCCGATTTTTTTACCGATAAAGAATCTGCGCATGAGCAGTGACCTGCAAGAGGAAGACAAAAAGAAGAGAAGAGGAAGAGGATGAAGAAGAGGATGAAGAGGATGAAAAAGAGGATGAAGAAGAGGAAGATGAGGATGAAGAAGAGGATGAAGAAGATGAGGATGAAGAAGAGAATGAGGATGAAGAAGAAGAGGATGAGGAAGAAGATGAGGATGAAGAGAGGATGAAGAAGAGGAAGATGAAGAAGAGGATGAGATGAAGAAGAAGAGATGAGGATGATGAAGAAGAAGAAGTAGGATGAAAATAAGAAGAATTCCAGTCCAGCAAAAAGTATCTCTGCAGAGAGTTCCGCTATTTCTGACAGTTCTCTGACAGTTCTTTGACATTTACAGCGGTTGAAACATTGTATCTATTTGTTTCCGAATAAAAACATCTGTATCCTAAATGGAAACAAATAGATACAATGTTTCAACCGCTGTAAATGTGAAGGAACTGTCAGAAATAGCGGAGCTCTCTGCAGGGACACTTTTTGCCAGCTGTAGAAGGGATGAAAATCGGCCGATTTTTTTTTTACCATTGATGGTAACGTCGGCCGCTTGAACGACCGAATTTTCGTTTTTTAAAAGAAAAATCTGCCGTTTTTTCTCCCCATCTATGGCCTGCATTAGAGTTACTCACCACCACCAAACACACACAGACATGTATACACACACACAGAAACATATACACACACGCACAGAGACACATGTACACATACAGACACATGTATACACCCACAGGCACGTACAGACATGCATACACACAGATACATGTACATACATACACATGTACGTACAGACACACATACATACATGTACATACACGCAGATACATGTACATACATATGTACGTACATACACACAGACATATGTACATACATACACATGTATGTACAAACACATGTACAGATACATACACGCAAACTCATGTACAGATACATACACACATACACATGTACAATTGTACGTGCACACACAAACGCACACATGTACACGTACACCCCCCCCCCATAAAAAGTTGCAGTACTTCGTTGTTCACTCACAGATCCGGGTACTGCACTCTAGGGGGAGGCAGAGAGCACAGCACACACTCCTTGCTTTGCTTTCACTGCGCTCAGCTATTGAGCTCCCAGTGCCACTGACAGATCCGGCCTGAGCTCCGAGCCTGCTCAGCAAGACTGCCCTGGGGGGGACACTTGCCCCCCACCATAATTTCCACTCGCCATTGGCAAGCAGGCGCGAGTGGAAATTTCAAGCCCTTATATACGCTGCGCTAGGGGCGGCAGTTGTTCTTCTGGATACACATAACTGGATAAAAATTTATAGAAGTATCCTTGCCTTCGGGATCAGCCTTCTGCAGGAGCAATTGTAACCTTCAGTATTATTTTCATTGTGAAGCGGCGCACTTTTCCTAGACGGACTGTGCCACTTCCGCAAACATTCCTGGAATTCGCTTTCAGGAACGCTGCGCAGTTCGCAAAAAAATGCGTCCTGGATAGTTTCTCGGATACAACAGAATATAACTGGATATAACATTTATAGGTTAAAGTTGATCACAGGGAATATCTGATTGCCTCTCTCAGGGAAAAATTTTTTTTTTTCCTGCAGGAAATCTGATTGCCTCTCGGGAGGATTTTTTTTTTCCCTGCAGGAGCAAATTGTATCATGGGCCAGGAATGCTTTAATTTGCCTTCTACTCTGGATCAGCTGTGGGTGTAGGATTATAACTTTTTTTTTTTTTCTATGGTTGAACTGGATGGACTTTTGTGCTCCTTTTTTCTATGTACATAAACTGACTATGGACTATAAATATATCACAGCAACTGAAAAAAGTGGAGCGCTAAACAGAAAATTAATAAATATATACATTTCCAGATGATTCTATACGTTTAAAGTCACCAAAAACGCAGACTAAATGAGAATCACAAAAACCCATAAAAGATGATAATAGGTGAGTCTGAAATATGAAGAGGAATGAAGATAAATATAAAGTGACTCTTGTGCTCAATGACTCTGGGTCCGGTACCAGTGCAATTTAGTGATATAGGTAATGCGCACTCACCAGACGCGCATATTGTATGCGCCTTATATTAAATTCCAGGTGTCATCAGACAGGTGTAGGATAGGTGGACTTCCCTCTCAAAGCTGGTGGGTCGTCAGGATAAATATGGGATTGGTGAAGATATTCCTCGTCCTTTAAAGCTCCTTAGTGCTCAGACAGCTGCAACTCTCTGGATAAGCAGATTACCCTCAGGGTGTGGCAATGCGTCCTAGAGCAGTGGGTCTGCTGGTTAAAGACTCCCCCAAGGGGTAAGGACAAGGAAACTCCCAAAGTGTAGTAATTATACAGCTTCATTGTGATGCATCAGACAGGATAAAAACACAGACAGGACTGACCATCTGGTATTAAAGATGGCCGCCGGAGCTCCACGTTGCTGCGGCGGCGTGATGTGGCTCCTGACGCGTATCGTGTACAAACACGTCCTCAGGGGGGTCGCCAATCACGTCGTGTCTTCCGCCGTAATAATTTATAGACAAAAACGGCACATGCGCATATTCAGCCGTGGCCATATTGGAGTAGCGCGATACGTACTGCACAAGCGCGAAATAACAGGCGCTATTTTCCCTTGGTTTCCCCATAAAATATAGAAAGAGCAGATAAATATCTGAATATCTAGGAATACACGCTATTGCCCATGCTCGAGGGCTTCGACGCCATTTTTCCTGGGATGTGAGAGAGCAGACATAATCATCTGTGTCTCTTCTATTTCTTGATAGTAAGAATGGAATATGCCAATATCTATTATGTAAATGGTAATACAAAAATGTAAATAAATCATTGGCTACCAAGAAGAGAGATTAATAAAAGTAAAGATAAATAAACTAACAGTAACATATCCACAGGATTGGGTAATACTTAGTGCGCATGGTCTATATATTAACAAGTACCTTCAGAGTATTCCCTTTGTGAAGCGGCGCACTTTCCTAGACGACTGTGCCACTTCCGCAAACATTCCTGGAATTCGCTTTCAGGAACGCTGCGCAGTATCGCAAAAAAGTCCTGGATTGTTTCTCGGATACACAGAATATAACTGGATATCACATTTATAGATAAAGTTGATCCAGGGAATATCCGATTGCCTCTCGGGGGGGGATCAGGAAGGAATTTTTTTTCCCCTGCAGGAGCAAATTGGATCGTGCTTTGCTGGGTTTAATTTGCCTTCCTCTGGATCAGCTGTGGGTGAAGGATTATAAAAAAAAGTTTTTCTGTGGTTGAACTGGATGGACTTTTGTCTTTTTTCAGCCAGACTAACTATGTAACTATGTATCTTTGCTGGGTGTGCTGGATGTCAGCAATAGCATTCAGTCTGTGTCCTTTTAATGCATTTTTTTAAACTTTTAGGTTTTTGGCAGGGTTCTAAGTAGGGGGGTATAAGGTGGTAGGTGAAGATTAGGAATGGATTTCTGGGCCAGGAACTTGCAAGCGCTTACCATGTCATGTGCAGGAGCATTGTCATTGTGGAGAATCCACTTGTCAATCTTGTCGGTCTTTTCCTGCAACCTTTTCATTTCCCACATTTGCATCCGTCCTTTGTGTTTTTGGCTGCTTGCTTCTTGTTTTATCGTGGACATCTTCCTCCCCCCCCCCCCTCCTTAACCCACCTATGCCATTCAAACGCACTTGATTTTTTCATGGAATGTTCACCATAAAAATATAGGCCCGACCGGATTGGATAAGACGGTTACTATTCCGGAAAGTTAAAATTGTAACTTTTGGTATCGGTTAATTCTAGTCCATTGGCCCCATCAGGCTCATGGCTAGATTTGTGGACTCTATCGTTTTGATTCATACAACGAGGGTATCCCCTGAGTGTGTGGATGTGTATGGCGTGTGCAGGGGCGGGACTGCCATTTGGAAACTCGGGCACTGCCCGAGGGCCCAGGGTCAGTAGGGGGCCCCATGAGATGCCCCTGGTACCTTTTTCATAGGCTTTTTTGAGTTTGGGTAAGGACACAGAGGCCCCATGATCCCCTATTGCCCGGGGGGGGCCCCATGAGTTGTCAGTCCGTCCCTGGGCATGTGCTTGCTGACTGTACAGCTGCCTGGGATGACTAGACAACGCTGTCTTTATACTTTGTATGGTGATGGGTTACTATTTATGCTGTTGAGTGTTTTGTATTTTTGATATTTATTTAAGCAGGTAATGAGATGGCAACCATGACAGGGCGTATAACTCCTGCTGTGACATGTAAACGCCACTGGCGTCTACAGCTAAAGGGGGGGGGGGGGGGTGGGGGGGTAAAAGCACGTCTTACCTATGGGGTTTTACCACTCCCCAAACTGCAAATGTTAATTAACCCTTACTGTTCTGAGCCCCCTACCAGGCTGCTTTCACACTGATTTGCTGCGGTTTACTCACAACCAGTGCGACTTTGACTTTCCTGGGTTAGCTGTGCTTTGCCATAGACTTCTATTATATCCTGCAGGTGTGGTGCACATTCTGAAAGCGCACCAAAACTCTGCATTCATGAGTGCACCAAACCCGCAGGATATAATGGAAGTCTATGGCTAAGTACAGGAACACTGCATTGCACCCACAGTGCGGGGACACTGCAGCCCATCAGGTGTGAAAGCAGCCCTGTACTATTATGGCCAATGTATTGCTCCACACTGACCCGAAGATCTCTTCTGTCCTGCTGCCGGCACCACTCTGGAGGCACTAGCCGGGATAAGAGGTGGAGTGCAGTTGGTATCACTCTGGATGGGAAAAAACAGGAGACGGCACTACAGAGAGGGAGGGTTCTGGTTATGCAGCTTTTGCTCCCTACTAACTAAGCTCCAACTTTACAAGTAGTCCCTCTGCATTGCACTCTGGTTGATGCTCTAACCCGATCTAAAGAATGAAAGGGACAGTCGGCTAGGGAGGAAAGTGCTAGATGATGCTGGACATCCTCCCACCCAGGAAATTAGGCGGGCTCTATCTGAACGTGCAGGGCATCTTACCACGTTGTGATAAGCTCACAGTGTGCAGCAAAAGCAGTTTTTTGGTCGAGGAGAGGAGCCAGAAGGTAAGGTTGGAGGTCAGATTTTATCTGGGGGTATGGGCAGCACAGTGGCTAAATGGTTAGCACTTCCACCTGGCAGTACTCGGGTCGTTGGTTCGAATCCCAAACCACGCCCCCTACTGCGTTGGAGTTTGCATGTTCTCCCTGTGCTGCGTGGTTTCCTCTGGATACTCCAGTTTCCTCTCACACCTCCAAAGATATGCTGGTAGGTGAATTGCTCCTGTCTAAATTGGCCCTCATATGTGTATGTAATGAATGTGAGTTAGGGACCTTAGATTGTACGCCCCTTGAGGGTTAGGGACTGATGTGGAAGGTGATGCAATCCATATATATATGTAAAGTGCGGCGTAAATTGACGGCGCTATATAAGTACCTGAAATATATATATAAAATTACTATATATAATTACTGTATATTAAAATTTAATTATTAATAATAAATAATGAGGGTTAGGGGCTGATGTGATGTACAATATGTATGTAAAGCGCTGTGTAAATTGAAAGGTGCTATATAAGTACCTGAAATATTATATAATTACTGTATAATTACAATTAATTATTATAATAAATAATGAGGGTTAGGAACTGATGTGAATGTACAATATATATGTAAAGCGCTGGTAAATGGACGGCGCTATATAAGTACCTGAAATAAATAAATATATAGAATCTGCAATGAAATATCAGAGAGAGAGGAGGCAGCCAGCTGTGAGTTGCTATAGATTTATTTATTAAGAGGACGTTGGTTAATTTAAAAAAAAAAAAAAAAAAAAAAGGTTCTTTTATTCTTTCTGAACTTGGTAAAGACATGACCTGTTGGGGGTTCAATGAAGACGGGCCTGAAAAGCACTGCCCATCGCTGTTGGCTGCTCTCCCAGCCCTATGATTGCCAATGGGAATGGCTCAGCACTTCTATCAATGTGCTTTTCAGAGAAATGCTGCCACCATATGGTCAATTTATAGTACTGCGTGGTCATACTCCTAAAAACAGAAATTCTGAAATGGCATTAAAGGTGAACTCGGGTATGGCAGCTTTTCCATACTTGCATTAGTCCAGCTTGGACCAATGGAAGAGAATGTACATGCCATACCTGTGGGATTCCCCCGACACTGGTAAATCTCTGTAGTAGGCACCCCTACTACAGTGATCTCCATTAGCTCCCAGGCCAAGCAGCTGCACTTCTGCATCCAGGCAGTGGCTTGCTTGACAC